TCAGGCAATCCACTCACCTTGGCCTCCCAAAGCGCTGGGATTACAGGCTGAGCCACCTAGCCCGGCCACAAGTTCTTTGTAAACACTATTTTAAGACAATGGAATAAGGATTGCTTGAGCCCGGGGGTTAGAGACCAGCTTGGACAACTTGGTGAGACCTCGTCTCTACAATATATCAAAAAAATTAGCCAGGCATGGTGGCGCACGCATGTAGTTCCAGCTACTTGAAGACTGAGGTGGAAGGATCACCTGAGCCCAGCAGGTTGATGCTGGGGTGGCTGTGAGCGTGCCACCACACTCCAGCCTGGGCGACAGAGTGAGACGCCAACTAAAAAAAAAAAAAAAAGAAAAAGAAAAAAGATAATCAAATAATGTTCCCCTCCTATTAAAAAACATTTTCTACATTTTTTTTTTGAGTTGGAGTCTCACTCTGTCACCCAGACTGGAGTGCAGTGGCCGCTCCCGGTCACTGCAGCCTTGACCTGCTGCTCTGGCAACCCTTCGGCCTCAGCCTTCCAAGTAGCTGAAACTACAGGCGCACGCTACCACGCCCGGCTAATTTTTTGATTTATTGTACAGATGAGGTCTCGCCAAGTTGCCCAGGCGGGTCTCGAACCCATGGGCTCAGGCAATCCACTCACCTCAGCCTCCCAAGGCGCGGGATTACAGGCTGAGTCACCGAGCCTGCCTTACATTTCCAGGACAGACCCTGCTATTTGAAAGGCACTGAAACAGGCCTTTTCCACCCTAAAATATACCCTGCACTCCCTCCTGCTAGGAGTCTCTTTATTCTTCAGAGCTTGACAGCCCCACCCTAAAGCCATTATGCAGAATAAGAACTTTATAAAATTAATGGTCTCCAGAAGTCCCTTGTAAGGACTCACCCAGGAAGTCAGAAGTTCTCCAAACCTTCCCTAATTCCCACTTTAATGCAGAGGTTTGAAAAAGTAACTCTTAAGTGGAGGTTACTTCAAGATAGAGGTCCCCTGGGGAAAACAGGCTGGCAGGCCCTGGAAGCACCCATGGGAGGCACCCTAACATCCAGCAACAGCAGCACTCGTGATTCTGAACTAGACACACAAGACAAAATGTGAGCAAAACTGCCTCAGCCAAGCTTCCAGGCATTCACACTCCACCACACACCCCAGTCCACACAGTTAGAAAACTGCATACTCGCGACAAAGGAAGCATCCAGGTCCTTGGGAGAGCATGGAGTGGCAGAGAGTCCTGAGTGAGTCTTCCGGCCAGCAGTGACCTCCCAAGGAAGGAATATCTGAGCTGAGAGCTGAAGCAGGGGTAGGATTATACTGGGTAACAGGGTGGGGCACATTCTAGGCAGAGAGAAGAGCCTGGGTCGAGCTTTCAGGTAGGAGGACCCAAGGCTGGGGTGGCCAGAGCACTGTGTGGACAGGACTCCCATGCCTGCCTGACATGGTGGGCTTTCCATCAGGAGCACGTGAGTGGAGGCACCAGCGGGTCTGCTGACAGTGCGCTAAGAGGGGCCGACAGCCTTGAGGGGTCTTTTCACAGAGGCCAAAGGGGGCCTGAGAACCCATGCGGGTCTTGTGAGGGAGAAAACAGTGGTGGCTGCCCAGCAGGCTCCCCCTCCCAAGGCCAGGCTGAGCCCGACTCCCGGTTTCCACTCTTTCTTAGGAATGGTAGTTGGGAATACACTCAGCCATTCTGTGGCCTACGGCACATGGTTATTATGGGATCATTACATATATATAGATATATGTGTGTGAGTATATATATAGGTTTTCGCCTACAGTTTCTGGCTTACAACTCCCACAGACCTTGTTGTGCTGGGTATGTTCAGACCCCAGGAAACAGACTCTCTCTGACATGTTCCTGCTGTCCTTTCACCCCAAGGCAGGATTCTACTCTTCCCTGCCTTTCCAATTGTGGGTCATAAGACCCTCATTCCAGAGAGGGTACTGCCCCATACCCTGGGGAAAGGCATGCTGACACCTCGAAGCTTCCATAAAAACTTGGGTCCAGCTGGGTATGGTGGGTCATGCTTGTAATCCCAGCATTTTGGGAGGCCGAGGAGAGAGGATTGCTTGAATCCAGGAGTTCAAGACCAGCCTGGGCAACACAACAAGACCTCATCTCTACAAAAAATAAAAAAATTAGCCAGGCATGGTGTCGCATGCCAGTAGTCCCAGCTACTCGGGAGGCTAAGGTGGGAGGATCACCTGAGCCCTGAAGATCAAGGTTGAGGAAAACCGTGATCGTGCACTCCAGCCTGGGTAACAGAGTGAGACTCCAACTCAAAACAAAACACAGGGGTTCATACGGACAGCTGAACGCCTGGAGGTTTCTGGAGGGTGGTGCACCTAGAGGTACATGGCAGCTCTATGCCCCTTCTTTCATACACGGTCCTATGTGTCTCTTCATTTGCAACCTTTGTCATATACTTAATAGTAAACCAGTAAATAGCTGGGCTCGGTGGCTCAGCCTGTAATCCCGCACCTTTGGGAGGCTGAGATGAGCAGATTGCCTGAGCCCGTGGGTTCAAGACCCACCCGGGCAGCGAGACCTCATCTCTACAATA